TGGCAGTTGTAATGCTATATACATGTATAGTTCCTAAAATGTGGATGTACATGTAATGTCTCAATATAAAATTATATTGGAGATGCAATTAAGACCTCCAGAACAGCTTAAAGGTCCGTCATGTTCTGTTTCACTCACAGCATTCGACTACATCATGTACATTCTGGAGTTCAGGTGTTGTGGCAAATCAACTTCAGTTTGCAAAGAAAACTTTTAACTTTCCTAAATCCTTACACCAAGTCACAAAGCCCCATGCTGAATCAGCATTTCTACACAGAACAATCCAAAATTTATTGAATACAGCTGCTTGAATCTGAGTACATGTAAGATGCCATGACACGCTTCAGTCCCTCACACTACACAATGAAAGGTAAAAGATTTTTGGTCCACCAAATCTCCAAATGGTACCGTAATTAATATACTCTTTGTTCTAATTAAAGTAACTGATGATGCCAGCAGTCGGTCATTTGTCACTATCATTTGGCTGGTACATGTACAATAAAACTTACATATTTATGAAGTGAACATCTCATTGATATCTGTCTACTCATCCTTGTCTTTGAGTTTCCCTTGTCTCTATTGTTCTTTGTCAATACTTGCATCCTACCTCGGGTTTAAAGCACAGTGCATATACATGTCCTTGGCAATGGGTTTTGTCAGAAACTTTAGAAACTAGAAAATACGACCATAACATAACTACAAGTAGGGACTTATCTACTAACTTTCAAGAGGAGGTTTTTTTCTAAAAAAATACATGATCACTGTCATTTCATGACAAGAACGCACAATTTAAAAAACTGTAGAGTCCTGAAAAATATACTGCTTTTAAAGCACTTTGTATGAAAAAATATACGATAAGACTTTTAAGTCATTTTGTAATGCAGTGTAGGAACGTTCAAAATTTGCCAAAAACTAAATCAGAACAAGCATATTTACAACTGAGGATACTTTCAGTGAAAGTAAACAGCTAAGGTGGCAACTTAATCTTCATTTGTTTACATTCAATATGCATAGTGTTATCTTTCAAAAGCTCAAAAGAACAATTAAATCTTACAAACCAATGTAAACCATTAGTTTTTCAAACATTACTAAAAAAAAGTGTGGTTTCTTTATCTGACTACTAGCAACCGTAACATTTCAGACGAGATTCAGATCAGATAATGGCAAACCAACAATTTTGGCTCTAAAACGTTTACAGTGACTGTTCCTATAACAAGACTAAATGTGCCAGCTACTACTTAGAACAAACAGCTTTTCAGTTTTAAAACAAAGTATTAAAGCAACGTTTTCTTACAACAAACTGCTTTTAAAGTAACGTTTTCTTACAACAAACTGCTATTGAAGCAAAGTTTTCACATAATGTAAAAGCACATGATAGTCTTTAAAATCAGGATTTTTCTGAGGCTCTTGAGGCTTGCAAAAGACTTGGCAATAATTGAATTGCTAACTAACAAAATGCTAATTTTAAGATGTATTTCATACATGTATTGGCACTTGGAGAATTTAGGGGCTTACTTAGCTGATCACCAAGGAGATTCATGATTTACAAGTTAGAATACACTGCATTCAATCATTTACAGACAAAGAAATTCTCAATTTACGAAAATCCAGCTACTGTTTGCAGTCTTGTTGGTCATCAGTTCCTTTCAATGCATTGATATCATTCAAAATTACTGTACTGTGTAACAAACATTTTCAATGCACGCTCTTCCAGAATAATTAGTATTTCAGGCTAAATAGCACACAACCTCCGAGTCACACAAGTGTTTTAAGGTAATTGTGGCACAACATATAATTTCAAGCCTCAAATTCCATTTTTTAGGACACTGCCATTTAGCATTGGTGGACTGGCTGAAATAAAGAGCAGTAATGCCAAACATATGGGCATTGATGCCATCAGCGTACCACAGTTATGGGCATTGATGCCATCAGCGTACCACAGTTATGGGCATTGATGCCATCAGCGTACCACAGTTATGGGCATTGATGCCATCAGCGTACCACAGTTATGGGCATTAATGCCATCAGCCTACCATAGTTATGGGCATTGATGNCAGCGTACCACAGTTATGGGCATTCATGCCATCCCAATTTTTTCTATATATCACGGGAAAAGGATTCAGTTCTAAGAAACAGTAGGATACGCATTATACCTGAACATGTCCGTGATAAGTGCTGCACCAGCAGCCAACTGTTGAAAGGCTTCAGCCTGTTTTGACTGTAGCCGTTCTTTCCTCGGCATTTTGCATACCACAAAAAACTGGCCAGGCCAGTGATTCAGCAAACAACGTACGTGACAAGTAATCAGGGTAGGCCTAGTCCCAATTGACCGTACCGATGTCGTGTATGCATAGTTCGGATCGCGCGCGGCGCGTAGTACTAAACTGCAAACACTACATTGTGGTGTTAGTTAAAATACTGCCCCAACCATACAATTGTCCCCAGTGCATGGAAAACGTGAAACTCTCGATATACCGACAATGCGTACACGTTGATGAGCACTTGTTCTAGACTAACATTATTGCATGGTACATTAAAATACTTGGCTTGGGCATGCGCTGTTATGTTAAGTCGTTAGAGAGGCCGGCGGGTGCCGCCTGTTCTGCGCTTGCGATCATGCAGTGTGCATGGAGCGGGCTGGGCCGCCAGTGCGCGGCGGGCTGAGTGTACGATATTCCCACATAATTGCACACACGCCCTGCATATGCGTGCATGCCATGCATTTGGGTGGCACGGCGCGGTGTTCTGGTCGAATGTGAGCAATCAAGGAGCGATGTGTATGCCGCTTTCCATGCCGCTTTCCGTGTACCTTGCAGTCGATATGCACATGTAGGGCACTACGGCCAAGAGAAAAAAAGGGCACTGCCATCTTGGCGGTAAAACACCATCACTTTTCGGAGGCACCACGGCCAAATGGGAGGGCACCGACGGCCATGACCGTCGTAAAATTCGATGCCTGCAATTACCCCAAAATTCAGTCTCACAAAAGTAGGTCAACCATAGCACAGACAGCTAAGAGTCTTTAAGAATCACAACAAGAAAACTGAGGACTGTAAACATTCAGTGGCATAACTACAGGTGGGCACACGCAATCCCACCCCCAGCAGACGCCCACGAGACTAGAAATATTTAAGAGTACATTCAGTTCTTCCAAATTACCAAACCGACAAAACGCTCTTAAGTTCTATTCTGAACAAACTAAAAATTGTCATGTGACCTGTGAAGCAGGCGACAATACAAGTATTTGAATACAAAGATAATTTTGGAGCACTACATTTCAGCAATAATGTACGCGTCTAAGATTAATATCTGTGGACATTATGGGGCTGGGGCTTCAAATCTTGGGTCAGAGGTGACACAGTTAGTTCTATCTTCTCTACAGACAATTCTAGTGAACACGGTAGTGCCATATTACTGCTTATTTACTGTGGCCCCCTTTAATGGCGTCGAGCATTGGGACAGCCATTGTCTGGAACCACG